CCATGGAGGGCACCCACAGGACCCCACAGGTTTTGCTGTCCTGGTGATGCTGCACTGTGTGGGTGTTGGTCAAAAATCAGCCTTTGGGGAAAGACGAATTTTGCAAAGAGACACTCAGCTGTCSACCCAAAAGCTTTCCAGCATAGTCCTTTGCTTTGGGAAAACATTTTGGAGGACACCCAGTATTGCTGTCCACCACCTGGACACTGGTGACACAAACCAGGCAACGAGACCTTTGTTYGCCTTTGTTCACCTCATCAGCCTCTCCATAACAACACAGGACACAGGTACAGATCTTGATGGTAACAGAAAGGCATCCAAGATATCTGGTCATGCTCGAATATGGCCTCAGTGTAGGAGCCAGGCTGCACAAATGGGAGCAGCAGTCGCTCAGCCCCAGCCACAAGCTGGAAAACACTTGTCACAAGAATAACCTTTGGAGTATTAGACAGAAAAAAAATGTTTTTAATGACATTGTCATCCATGTGCATGTGGCAGCAGCAGCCAGCTTGCTGATGACAGAGCTGTGTGTGCCAGTGCCACTTAGYGCCCAGCAGAGCACACAGCGCTCCCAGCCTGCCTCTGCAGCACGAGGGGATTAAGAACCTCCTGCTATTTAAATGAGTCATTTAAAATACATAGATCATTAACACCATGAGTAGGTTTACCCCTTCTCCCTGCCTTCCCTTCACCCAGGAGGTCTGTGCTTCGCCCAGARATGGGTGACAGGGGCAGAGCTACGTTGAGTGGGAGCTGTGGCAAAAAGAATAATCATGAGCCACCTATTACTCATTGCTTAGCATGCACTCAGAGATCGGCCCAGTTTCAAGAGTGTGGTAAAAAACTCCACAGGCCTAGGAAGTACTTTGAAATGTGTGTGAARTTTGGGTGAATTGACAGAAATAAACCCTTCAAACAAAGATTTCTTTTTTTAAGGTGTTAGTTGTGAAGTTAGAAATACCTTCCCAGAAGATGCCACTGCTGATGAAGAAAATAAGCTTCCATTACAGAAACACTGGTCGCATTTCGCAGGAATTGTGTGTGCAGCCTGGGGGCATGAAAAAGCTCTAGCAGGGATAACAACACAAAAGCTTTAAAGGTGTTCTCAGAAAGTCTCCATGGCACATGCCTGGCACTAAGGCATGTTGTACAGAGCAYCTTTGTGTCTGTATTAACAGAGGTGATATCCAAATAAGCCTTTAAAGCTACCAGAAGAGATTTGATTGCTTCCTCTTCTTCTGGAGCATCTTGGGCAGAAATTAAAAGCAAAGCCAAATGTGGGGTTTCTGTTGGCATCGCAATTTTTTTTTTCTCATTTTATTGACAAGGGCATAGAGAYAGCTCACTGTTATCCTTATGGTAAGAGGATTTTGTATGTAGCACGGTCCTTCAGGTTCTGAATTTTCTCTTTTTCCAACCGCCGAGAAGTCATTTCTACAGATTGCTGCCCAGTGGGTCTCACTTTGTGTTTGCACATTGTCACAGCTGCCCCATGGCAGCATGTCCCATGCCTCTGCTTAGGCTCATTCTCTTGACTAGGATTGCTTCTTCAACTTACCAAGCATTCTGGTGCTACCATCCACAGATGCTGACAGACACCTCCCCCAGGCCCCCCAAATACCCCACTCCACATTGGATATCACCAGGAAAATTTATAGCAAAGGAATTTCCAAGAGTTACTACTGAAAATACTGAATAGGTCTGGACTCTGGACATCACTGGGAAGATTTCCCCAGAAAGCTCTGACTTAGACACTGAACCCAGAATATTGTGAATCTAGATAGGCTGTGGTTCCTCAGCTCACTTATGAGAATGTCTTCTGGGACAGTGCCAGAAGCCTCTCCAAAGTCAGGACCTATCACATCTAATGCTGCTGCCTCCTAGCCATGAGGAGAGTTATCCTGTCAAAGAATGGAATCAAATTAGTTTGAAACGATTCGTCCTCAGTGAAACCTCAACAAACCCATTCCAGCCATTTATTTACAAATTTATTAATRTATTTAGAGGATCAGAGAATAACTGGTCAAGTAGCCTGCTCCTTTAAGTTTTCACAGAGAGATTATAAGGTCTGTAATTCTCTGTTTTTCTTCATCAGCAGTTCAGTGATGTTGCTGTGCTCTCTTTAAGTCCCCTGGCAGTTCATGTGTAGTCTGCAATGCTCCAACACCCATCCCATGTTTCATATTTTTCCTTCCCATGCTTCAGGCTGTTGAAGAGCTCTTGATCCACTTTATTGATTGCTACTTACYCTCCCTTCATTTCTCTTGCAGCGGGATAGTTTATTTGGACTTTGACTCCTTTTATCAGTCTCCAGATGTTTTTTTATCATTTAAGACATCTCTTCACAGATCCCACCCACGAGTTTTCTGAATTCACTTATATTTGATATCTTGTTTTTTGGAGTCTAAGTACTTTAGATTTACTCATTTTACAAAGATCTAGTATCCAAGTGCATTTTGAGGAGAAAAAGCTTGCAGACATCTGAACACATGTTACAGCCCACTGCAGAAGGCATGGGTAGGCCAGGTTCTTGTTAATAGATCCCTTGGGGCAAATTAGAGTGAAATGATACTGAATTAGTGGTGTTTGTAAATATACATATGTAGGGGTTATTGTAGAACCATTTGGTTACACTGTAAAACCGGGTATGTGGTCATTTTGGTTGCTGTTATATAYAGTAACATGGAAATATAAAAGCATAAAAATACCACTTCAGAAAATGCATAAAAAGAGAAGGAAAGGATAAGAGTAGAAAAGTCTCACTACCTCAATACTTTACAAGAGTTGGTTTTTGCAATTTTGATGTCTCTTGGTCACAGTGATGGTTGCAGACTAGATCCATCAGGTAGTGAGGGAACTCCCGAAGAAGTGGCGGGGACAAATCCCCAAAATACAACATCTATTGTGTTTATATTCACTCCAGTTCATGTAGGAATACCCAGGTACCTTCCCTGGGGCAGGGAGTTTCAACTGGATGATGTAATGTTATGGATACTTCGGGAGTCTTTGACACCTTCTAAGAGGCTACAGCTGCCCATAACATCAGTGCAGTTGAGTCCATTATGGGCCATCGTGGCCCATGAGCAGAGATGGAAACCTCCAGGGATGTGTGAATGTCCCATACTTCCAGCAGGGGAGTTACCACAGCTGAGTTCACATGAGTAAGGACAGAGACAATACCCTCCTCACACAGTTTGCCTCTTTCCTTACCACAGAAAAGAGCTGACACAGCAYCTGGCTGAAGAGAGAGAACTATTTCTGAAGTGACTTGGATGTTCCCACTCTGGGCTGGCAGGTTGTCTCAGAGAAAGCTGTATAAAGGGGGCTGAGGTTGGRTTTGGTCACCTGTAGCTTGTCCCATGAATGTTGGAGCCATGAGCATTCCAGTCTCTCTTCCTGTATCCCTGGTGAATACATTGTTCTCCCCAGACCTGGGATGACTGGACAATAGTATCCTCTTTATCTTATCTCAAGTTCCTAACATAGTCCAAATTCCAGTTAGCAGGCGTATTTGAGGAGGGGTGGGCTTCTGTGGTTGCAGATGGACAACAAGGTTCTGTTACAGTCTGTTACAGTGGGCAAAAGTCCTCTGATAATCTGAGCAATGTTTAAACCATTAACTTGAAGCAAACGGAACAGCTCCAGAGATGCAAAAATTCACTTCCATGTTGGGCTGCAGGCGAACAAATCCAGGCTCAGCCACCTTCATACAGCTTTCTTTTSAGACAACCTGCCAGCTCAGAGTGGGAACATCCAAGTCACCTCAGAAATAGCTCTCTCTCTTCAGCCAGATGCTGTGTCAGTTCTTTTCTGACATGTTGAAGCCAGCAGGAATCACTTCAGTGGTCCCAGCCAAAGTCATGACTGAGGGATAGCAGTGGCACTTYGTGCTATGCAAGGCCAGAGCTGTGCTGTGAAATGGGACACTGGACACTCAAGGTGCAGATTTTAAGTGCATGAAGCACAGCACTGAGATGCTACCGAAGAAATTGTTTCACCAGAGTCCTTTGTTTACACACCATAGAGAAATGAGTTAAGGATCTGTTTTGTACCGGGACTGAATTTCTTAATAAGGTGAACTAAATTCATCTGTACCTCAGATTCCCAGATCTTGCACCAAAAAACTATTCTGAGGTCCAAACTAGGGCCACCTAGTCATGGGTTGTATGCAGAGGACCTGAGCTATTCCTGCTGGCAYCAGAGAGGAGACAAGGTGTGGAAACCTCAGTCTCCACCAGAGCCACAAGCAGCTGCCTCCCTCATCAGCCAGTGCACACCCCCTGTGCCCCTCTGCCTGCAGCTCAGCTCAGCTGGGGACAGAGAGCCACCCACCACCACTGCTTGGCCTGTGCACACGGCAGGGCCATGGCTCCTCTGCCTCAGCTGAAGACCCTCAGTCCAGTTCCMGTGTGCTGAAGAAAACATCATCATGTTTTGAAAATGAAAACATCATGTTATTGTATAAATATTCATTTATGCTTCTGCAGGAGATGGGGATATAGGCTTTTGCTGCAACACACAGCATAGATTGGGTGGTGTTTTCTGAATGAAAGCTAGACAACCTCTGGGATGCACATGCAAGGCCCTTTTAAAAAACAAAAATGACCATTAAAATCTCCAAGCACACCCTCAGCAGAATGGCAGAAAGCATAATAAGCTAGTTTTGGGTATTCTGGCAAACACTCCATAMAAACACTTGTTGTTAAGGCTCCTGGTTCCTAAACCCATGACATGCCCCTTCTGCAATCTCTACACTCYCACTGAAGCTTCACAGACTTTCTAAGAGGGCTGGGCAGATTCACACCACAGAGATGCACTCTGGAGCTTGCTTTAGTTTAGCCTGGAGGCTTAGACACAGGGGAGACACAYCACAGACCTCCGAACCCAACCGCAGACTGACACTTGATTCCGCAATGAGGAAAGTCCTCTTCCCTCTCCTACAGCACTGCAGGRATAACTGGAAATCAAGATTCAACAAGAAACCACCACAAGACACTGGAGCAAAAGTTATCTATTTTATTACAAAACCAAACAGATGCCTTTCAATTTAACAAATTATGCCATAGGCAGAAATATGCTAGGGCAGGGTCAGTTCAGTATAAACTCAGGTCATGGAAAGCAGTGCCTACACACAAATCCCACTGTAATGCAGCTTCCTACAACACAGTATGCCCTTGGAAGATCAGCAAGAAAGGTTTTTTACTTCTGACAGGAAGCACAGATGACTTGCCCTGTTGAGTCCTGGTTCTCTTCTCTGTCCCAGCTGTTTTCAGCTGTCATTCAAAGTAGAGCTGGAGAGGCCCAGGAGGACTTGAAGGATGAGGAGACACATGGCCAGGGGCTGCTTTCAGACACAACACTGACACTGCCTGTGTCCCAGCATCAGTAAGATGCTACTGATGCAAGACAAAGCAGATGATTGCTGACGACCACCAGATAAGGACAATTTGGCCTGGCAGCCAGGTGGACTGGCAATAAAACCAAGAGGAGAAGTGGGCAGCTGAGGCTCTGCTCTCTTCTGGTGAGTACAGGTTGTTGGGACAGCTCATGGCAGGGACTGTGTGAATCAGGCCCAGGATGGTCTGCACAATCCTCCAACACAAAGCCAGGACAAATAACCTGACCTCTACCTGGACATTACACAATCATGCTGGCTGGGCTTTCCACAGCAATGGACAAGTGTTGCCAGAAGCTGCTCAGAGACCCACACAAATTCGGTGAGTCAGGATGCAAGAACTTGGACTTGTGAAAGGGAAAAGCAACTCTTGGTCCCCAATCCATSTGTAAAGTCAGCCCTGACCTAGCATCCATGGAATACCCATGACACCAAAATTAACCAACAGCCACCCCTTGTTTGCCTTCCTTGAAGAACTGACCCAATTTCAGCTGCAAACCACATGTGAATGCAGGCTTTTTGGMGGGGAAGGACACAAGGATGAGAAAAAGAAGGTCAGCAGAAGGATTTATGTGACAAGCAGGAGTGGCGGCTGACTGATTTATTTCCAGAGGAAGATGCAGTGAGTTTTAGCAGCTCTGCAGTCCCCCCACAATCTTGTGGGGCATTGCCCAACCCCAGTGCCTGGCTAATAGAATTCTTAGAGGCATACAATTGTCTGCTTCTGCTGGATGTGACTATACATTAAAAAAACCCCAACCAAACACAAAAAAACCCCACCCCCCCAAAAAAACAAAACCCCCTAAACCACCGAGCACCAACCAACCCAGCAGCCAGAACTTCCAATTCCTAAAACTAGAATATTAAAATGGAGAGGGTTTTTTTATACAGTTGGTTTCATTCTTTATTCCCTACAACAGGATTAGTGAGTGTGACTGTGACATTTCTAACTATACACTAAATCAAATTATTTCAACACAAAAAAGATGTGCCCTGGGCATTAAAAAAAAAAACAACCCAAAAAACAATGAACCAAAGGAGAAGAAACAATCAAGAAGGTGGGATTTTACAGGCCAAAAAAGCACATTCATTATATGTGAGAAACCATCAAGGTCCACCAGCAGGATCTGCTCTTGCTAAAGAGATGAGTTCTTTCTATTATGGTGTTATTATGTATATTTCAGATATTACCAGAGGTGTTTTCAACCATGTCATATGTTTTAATTAGCTCCAATATACTTCCCAGAGGAAGAGTTATTACTACTCCTAAACAGTTAGAAAGGTTTGTTAAGTTTTTTTAACTTTCCATTTTGTCAACAAGCACTACCTTATTGCATCAGGACACTTTTTTTTGGTGACACATCTCACACGATTGTCATGATGACATGACAAAGATGTTGTGCTGTATCAATCATGTTTTACCAAAGCCACAGAGCCTTGAGGGATGACTCCAGTCTCTACAGTAATCCATTGCTGTTGCAAGAAATTGTTGGTGTGATCTMGTATTAGCATGTAATTTCATCACCCTCACTTCAGTTTCTTCTAACAGGTTCGAGAAAGGTAAGTGGCACAAGGATCTCCAGGTCTGAAGTGGAAGGCTGCTCAGGAGTGCTTCCAGTGGTTGAAAATACATAAAGCAAAACACTGCGTGTCCCATCACACTCTGCCCAAGCCTAGGAGTGCTGATATGGGCAGCCCTACCAAAGAAACAATTTTGGTGAAACTGCTRGTGGTTGAAACTGCCCCTGTGGCCTCCAACAACACCAGACTCCTCACCCCAAGCCTTCACTGTTAGTGCTAATCACACCCCAGTGTCACAATACCCAGGAGGGACTGGTAACAGCAAATCAGGCAAAGTGGGCAGGCACACCACTGTGCAGGAGGGGAGCTTGGATTCACAACCACCAGTGACAAGAAGAGTCACTGCTGACAGATCTTCACCAGTGAGCATGGCCCAGGCTGCAGCGTTCCAACACAAGTAAAGCAGACTCTTGAGGAGTGACTATGAGCAGCATGATTATGTCTGCACTGACATGTTCTTTGCTCTTCAGCAAAGCATAAGGCAGGCTAATGCTCCTTTTAGCAGGCTTCTCAAAATGTTTATTGTTGTACAACACATAGATGAACACTTTGCCAGAGAGGAAGATGCAAGACTTCACCGACTCTACTAGACCTATGGCTCCCACATCCTTCCTACAGCTTTAGATTCTAGAGGCACAGCACATCTTTGCTAAGCATGTTATCTGGGCCTGAATAGCAATGCATTTGTAATTCACTTCTGCCCAACTAGCAACAGGTGCAGGAACTACTTTTGTACATCCCTAATATAACCCTTTTCTATCCCTACTTTAAGCAGCTTTGCAGTGCACCAGTACTTACACAAAATCTGTGCTCTCAAACGCCCAATGGCCTGAGTTACACAGGGCTTTATGGTAAGAAAAGGGGTTCAGCTGCTCTCGAGAAGCATTTGGTATCTGGGGTATTGTGTGCATATCTGCAAGAAGAAGTGATGCTGATACACTGTCTCCTTTTGTATGGGGGTGTTAAGGTTCACCACTGAATGATGGTTCAGTGGCAGAAATGAATTTATTACTATAATTTGTTAAAGGCTAAGTGTCCCTCTAGCCCTAACAGCCTTCAAAAGCAAAGGGAGGAATAGAACAGTGACTCCAACCCCTGTACAAGACAACTGTACAATTTACAAATATATTTATATACAGTATATAAAATTCTTTGAGTCCCAGTGAACTCAATTTTACATCATCAGTAGCTGTTCCAATTTTAAAAGGTCATGATCCTGCTTCCCTCTGCTTTCCAAAGTATTAGATAATRGTATTGAAAAGCAATTAAAAACAAACCCAAACCAATTTTTAAAAAGTGCAAACGCTCTGGGTGCCACTTCTGCTACGCTGGATGTTGCTGATGCTGCGTGCTTGCTCACAAGCAGCAAGGTGTCTGTCCGTCTGTCACTACATTTTTTCTTCCTGTGGGTCAGCTCCTGCCTTCCCTGTCTTCTGCTGCTACACCAGGCGACCTACTGAAAGGGTAAGGTGGGGTGGGCAAGGAGGAAAAGACAAACAGAACAGAAGCACAACAAGTAAGGCAAAAAGGCAAGTTAAATTAAGATAAAGATCCACTATATCCTCCCYCAAAAGCTGAGATCCCACAGTAAGCTGTGAGGCTGAAAACAACCAGGGGCTAATGAGACAGCCTTGCTGAAAAAAGCATTGAATGAGTCACATGGAGCCTTCGGGACTGACATATTTTTAAACACAAAACGCCACCTTCCTCCCCCTCCTTGGAAATGGGCATGCAGTCTAGGGAAACAACTGGTCCAACATGCCTTCCTCTGCTCTTCTGCCTGGCCCAGCTGATGCAGGAGCCCTCTGCTGCCAGGCTGCCCTGCCACCATCTCTCCATCAGCCACAGCCAGCTGCCTCCTCCCCTAGGAGACGAGCAGTTCTTGGAGGAGGCCTTTCTTCAGAAAGCTTTTGTTAAGCCACTCATCAAAGGTTCTTAAAGAATCAAAGCTCTTACGGGATGAGAGCTAGAGCTCTGTGGATTAATTACAGGTGCAAACATGCTACAGAGAAGGCACAAGTAGGGATTTGATTTTCAGAGAGGAGAAAGGTTACCTCACAGGGAGGAAAGGCCTCAGTGGGATCAGTGCTGATCAATATGCCCTGTCACAGGGGGCAGATATTGTCAAATACAAAATTATTTCAGGTAGCCATAATCGATTGCACAGCTCTGCAAGAGGTGTCTGCAGTGCTCAATGACTGGCTCATAAAAACAACAGATTGTTTTCCATGTCTGTAAGTGCACTGCAGTGTGGGAGTGGGCACGATCTGTCCTCCACTGAGCACTCTGAGTGACGACAAAAGAGGCTGAAGCCACAGCACAGAATTGTTCAAATGCCTCTGCACAGCTTTTAGCAGTAGGCTAAAAGCAAGCACATGYTCAGAATGGAGGACACACCAGAAAACATCACATCATCAGTGTACAAGGTGCAGTTGATCTTTATCTTCAGTTCTCTGTTCACCCATCTCACCAGGACCAGATACATTCCCCAGAAAGATAAGGAGGACAGCAAGAGGTACAGGAAGACTTCTGGCATTAAACATACACAGCTTAGGTCTTCTCAACACAGAAAGGAGTCTAACCAGACATATGAAGGACAGCTATAGAACAAGAGGCAGAACCTCTCACTGCTTCTTACAATCCAAAATGAGAAGTTCCYAACAAAACCATGAGGCAGCAAATCTCAGTGTTGTTGTTCACACCTGATGAAAGCATCTGTGCAATTCAATGCCACAAAATGCAAGGGAGAACAGACCTTCACCATGATAGAGAAGAGTCTTCAAAGGAATTTGTCCAYGGAGTAATGTAATGAAAACACAATATATCACCTAAATTATTGCTTGTTAGAAGAAGGAAGAATAGGACAGGACAGTATTCATCCCATAGCTTCTTTATGCTATTCTGATTCCTTAGCAAAAGACATACAGTTGGACTTTGAAATGATGCAAGGGAGTTGCATGTTGGTATATTTATACCTCTTGARACCAACTTTGGTTTCCAGCTGTTTCTATATTGCTGTTCATGAACATCGGAGAGCRGAGGAGAATAATTCTGCAATGCACGCTTACCTCAGAAAAAAAAAAGAAAACATTTCGGCAAGATACTCACTGAAAGGGTTAAGGCCTTGTCTTTTTCCAYTGGGCAAACTGCTCAGGCTACCTGTAAAATCCAAGAACCACATTAAAGGCAATAAATGGCATGACAAAGGAGATTTCCCTTGTGCGTTGCCAGAGGGCAGGTTCAAAGGAGCCCCTCTGAGCAGGCTCACAGCAAATCCTGACAACACTCCTTTAAGATTCACATGCAAGAGTCTGAMCAATGTGCCTGAGATGAGAGATGTTAGATAGCTGATGCTGTAGTAGCTGAGTATCATGAAATCCAGAGGTTTTGCATGGGCAAGAAACAACAGTTACAAGGTTAAACTGAACGGTGGAAGAAGAAAGAAGAAAGGAAGGATGCAAGCAGTATTATGAAGTTTCCCTAAGCAAGCAAAATAATGCCATGTAGACAGGGGGCAGCCAGATGAGAGTGAAGGTGCAGGCAATACAGATAGCCCAGGTTTATTAAATTGTTCACTTGGACCAAACAAACAGGTACCTAAAATCATAGACCTGAACTTATAYCTGGCAGAAGGGCAGAGCTGTGACATTGTGAGACAACAAGCACATGCGGCCTACACCAGATGGAGCTCATGGCAAGGGCCTCTCACCTCAAAAATAAACCTGTTCCCACCTTGTGCAGGGTACAGACAGCTCAGGGATTGCAGGAGCTCTAGAAAGCATGTCACATTTCCTGTGAGCTGCTTKGTCTGATTTCAGAGGAGGCATTAGCTGAAAATGGGAACCCTTGCTCCCAGCCAGCAGCAGGAAGCCTGTTGCCACCCTCCTCTCCAGCCTATGACTTTGATTTGTGCACACACATCACCTGACTGCACAGCTCACTGTGCACATCAAGCACTCGGCAGCACATTCTGCTCTGTGCAGGGTTGAGATGGACAGAAGCTCAGAGGGCAGGGGTGAGGTGTAGGAAAGCCTGAGGGCCAGGAGGCTAGGCTGCAAGACAGGAGCAGAGCTGCTGGGAAGAAAACACACGAGGGAGAGAATAGTGGCAGTGGCCAAGACTGAAATTGGTCACAAAGCACAGCCTGTTGGCCTTAGAGAGCATTAATAAGAGAAAATGTGTAAGCACAGTAAGTTATTTCAAGGCACCCCAATACCAGCCCAGTAACAGCCACCTGCCCTGCCAGAGCAGCAGAACCACGGCTCGCTGATGCCCGTGTGTCTAATGGCACTGCTGCCATGGGCAGAGGCTCCACTGTCAGGCAGAGGATCTGCTCTAGCTGACCAGCACTCGCAGCCTGGCCCTTCATGGGCGGCTGCCAGGGTCAGGGAGGGCACTGCCAGGCTGTGCATCACTGCCCTGGCTGGCAGCCTGAGGAAGCCAGAGGGCATCCCAAAGAACCCTGTCCACTTTAACAGGCAGTGCAGGTAAGCCTGCAGCACCGGGCTGTGCGTGAATACACTTATCTTTGGAAAGGGCTCAAGGAGCACTGCCTGCCTTCAGAGAGAGGAGGGGAACTCCAGCTCGGTGTGTGCAGAAGGCAGGAGCATCCCTTATCCCTCCTGCCATGGCCCATGTGCTCCAGGGCACGGCCCCGTGCAGTCTGCGGGAAAGCGTGCTGACACTGCGGGGACAGAGAGCACTGCCTTCAGCTGCCACCTGCCAGGCACAGACCTGTGGAAGGCAAAACCCTGCCACAACACGGCACTGSTGGCACAACAGAGAGGAAGGAATACGGCCGGTGGTGATCGTGGGTTACTAATAGCTGGGAAGCCCTTGGGCATTAGGGGGTAACACCCCATCATTCAGCAAGTTTCATAAAGCCAAGTAYTTGCCCATCCTCACAAGTACACTGTTTTGGATAACAGTTCCAGTCACTCTGGATTAGGCCCGGTGTCCTTCAAAAGAAAAAGCCCCAAGGAAACCCCAGCAGCTTTTTATAGAAAGAAATTATTCCCCAGACATACTGAGGAAACCTTTCACCTTCACCTTTTGGGGAGAGAAACATTGCTACCACCAGCCTTATCTTGTATTCTCAACACAATACTTATGTCCTAATTCATWCTGTCACTAACTTCAGTCAAAATTAAAGGCAAATTATAGCACCTCTAAAAAGCACCATTTATAGCCCTTCCACAAAGGAGAATRTCTGAACAAGACAAACAAAACTAAGCACTGAACCAGTGTAGTTCCTTTGATTCTAATCTAATAGCAATTAGACGTACTTTGAAATTCCTTTTTAATTCAGTCATTACCTGGTTAGTTTTCTCACGGCTGCTCAAGACTGTTATTTTCTACCATCACTAGTCCATAGGCCTTTCCCAGGTGACTGCTGTTTGCTACCTTCTCCCACACAGCTGCTTGCACAGTAATGATATAGACCAACTTCATTCCCAGCCTCYCAAGCATGCAGTTACTTCTGAAGATAGCAATAAGACAGGTCCAAAACATCACTGAATGAAATTTGCTCTTCAGGTTGTCCTTTACTCTTCCTTGTTTCTGTAATATTTCCTCAGATTCAGTAAAAAGTGACCTTCTGTTTAATTACACRTACATATACTTTTAAATTAAGATATTTTGGTCCTGTTTCTGGACAGCACTCTTGGTGGCTGGGTTCCACCTCAGAAGTCCTCATGGCCTGTGAAGCACGCCCAACACCTACCATCTGACAAGCTCTTGGACAGCAAAGCAATCACGGGATCTGAGCTGGCAGAAGAGAACTTCCCGTCAGCTGGCACAGGGACATTTCTTTGCTGCTAATTCCCTTAGCTCCTCTTTGGGCAGGCACAAAATGCTGACTTTGTCCTCTGAATTTGGAAGAATATAGAGGTACAACTCAACTCCAGCATTCTGCAGCCAGCACAACCAGCATAAGACTCACTCAGATGGACAGCCCTCCTCTCCAGCATCACTGGGCTCCAATTCATCTTGGGTCCAGTAACTTTCCAGCAAAACTTTACAATGTGTGTTTATCTCCTCTCAAGGACCCCGCCTTTTGACTAATGCACAGTGATAAATTTGTTCTTTGATCACAGATGGTTCCCCCCCTTAATTCAGGCTGTTATTTGAAGGCAGACTACACTGAGGAATGCTAACTTTTAACAGGCTGTAAATCAGTCTGTTTTCCTTCCACAATCCCTCAAACAGACAATCCTAGAGCAAGTGATGGCAAAGACTGTTTCTGGCATACTCCAAGCTAAAAGCCCTGCCTGCCTGTTCTGCCCCAGTTTAAGAAACTATTTGCAGACTTCTGTAAACACTCAAAGACAACTCCATTCTGAGATCCAAGAATGGCATTTTTCCAAGCAAATGGCCCCTGACAGAAACAAGTCTGGTTTAAAGAGGGACAAGAGCTGTGCAAAGCGGCCACCAGACCTAGCAGATTTGCCAGCAGCTTTCTGGGTGACCACAAGGATGGAAAAGAGGAATGGTTTCTRATAGACTGGGCAGTTATTTTCCTCACTGGAGAACCACTGGTTGGCAGTACCCACATACTGGTTTACTACAGGCATCAAGGGTCTGCTGAGGAAGGGAAGACAGAACTATGCATCTCTGATGTGCATCAGCAACTATGTGCTGATACTGGGGATTGCTCTGAACCAGGTGCAGTACCTTGCCCTTGGTCATCTTAAACCTCAGGAGATTCCCATGGGGCCTCTTCTTAAGCTTGCCCAGGCCTTCCTGCATGGCATCCCACCATTCAGGCATCTCAACTGCASCACTCAGCTTGRTGTCATCTGCTAATTTGCTGAGGATGCACTCAATCCCACTATGTCATTAATGAAAAAATTAAACAATACTGGTCCCAATATGGACCCCTGAGGGACACCACTTGTCACTGGTGTCCATCAGGAGTCTGAGCCATTGATTACCACCCCCTGGATGTGACCATCCAACCAATTCCTTATCCACCAAATAATCCAACCATTTCTCTCTAATCTTGAGAGGATTTGTGGGGGACTGTGTCAAAGGCAAAGATACTGATTGTTTCTAAATTTAGCAGTTCTTATGAATAGTAAGCATAGAAAACACATCATCTACCACCTCACAACTTCATCTCTTTAAAAAGATGCATCACAAACTTGCTTATTGAACCTCTAGAATACTTTCCTTCAGTTCTTTTCTACATGTTAGTACCTGCTCTCTGCACTGCCCCCTCCACTGCTTTTTAGTCCTCACCATCCTTTAACTTATCCATTTATCTTTGACCCTCAAGGCTTATCAGGTCTGYAGTAGGTATATGGAGCTGTCACAAGATCAGAGTACCTTTTTGACCACAGTCCTGTCCTCATATAACAGAAGAAACCATGAAAGGTCAAGGCTGTATTCTCAGCAAACAGCTGGACAATCAGGCACTCTCAACAATTTCTTGCTGCTTTCTTTCCCCTTCACACGGGCTCAAARTTTCACATTTTCTTTCTTCTCTCTRTTTTGTTCCTCTTCCATAAACTAAATTTTGAACAGTCAGTTGGCCAGGGCAGCAGATTCCAGAGAGTCTTATTCCAGGCCAAATAGCAATAAAACTCATTTGGCWTATTTGTCTTATTGGGAAGGTAATAAAATTAAGGATTGCTATTTTTGTATGCCRTTCCTCAGTACGGTACTGATGACTAAAAAAACACTTGCACTGGGCTAGGGAAGCTGAATGCTTCTCACAGCTGACAAGTAACACTATATGTGTATTATGGTAACAAAGATGTTTGCAAAGCACCTAGAAAATGCAAATTCCCAACACCCAAATGTACTGACTCCCTTCTCACTCATGCTAAACCTGAGAAAAGAACTAAGGAAAGAGTAAGACAGGAGAAAAAAAATGCTATCCACCCTTCCCAACTACCATGATACTTGTAACAACAGCTGTCTGCACAGCCAAAACACCTGCACAGGAAATTAGGCCCCTGGAATCTCCCTGTTTGCTTTCTCCTGCCAAGCCAGTCTGCCTACAGTCAAGAATGACTGATAATTACTGAATTTRGGTTTCAATTCCTAGAATTTCCAAAAATATCAGTTTGGTTCAGGTCCCAACAGATGATGAGGTGAAGATGAAAAGGAAGAAAAGGCAGGAGGGTGGGTTGATGCTCAGACACTAACCAGAAAGGAAAATAGGTTATTCACATGCCTTATTTCTCCCCCAACCTTGAAGTAAAATTTAAGTCTGAAAAACAGTACAACCCCATGCTTTCTTTCTGAGCTGTTCTCTTTGCATCAGCCACTTTCCTGCATGCTGAGTTTAGCAGTGAAAATAAATATTATTCCTGTTAGTCAACAGGGTCTCTAGAGAAGGACTGGGTCTGTGCTGGCTCATATATCATCCAACCTGCATGGCTGAGACAACAGAATATTGTTAAGAGAGTATTACTCAGAAGGGACCTGATTTGAACTACAGTTTCCAAGGACTTYTACAGTACAAATGGAATTCTGGCCAAGGCTCATCTGTTGTCCTGTTTCTGTATAGTGCTTAGCACAAAGGTCGGTGATAATACATAGAAGATGGAGCCATAASACAAGTAACAAACAACATTTGCATGGCAGTGTACTAATCCCCCTCATCTGCTCACACAAACTGTGGCACGTATGAAACAGCTGGAAGAAAACGGATTCCTGAGTCTGCTGTAACTCAGTTTTTATCTGTCATGTTTGTTTGTCAATTTTTATTGCCACGCAGTGGCGAAGAAAAGGCACTCACCTCCTTCCTTGCTGACTCCCAAACATCCTTTCAGCTCCTGAAGTGAGATTGACTTGTCCTTGTTGAGGTCACAGTAGTCAGTGAAACGCCGGGCACATTTCTTGGGCTTGGCTTTCTTCTTCACGTAACGTTTGAAAGGCTTCAGCTCCCGCTTGTTGATGTCATTGCTGCTGTTGTTGTCCAGCTGGCTGAAATACCAGTGCACCACTCGCTCCTCTAGTGTGTGGCTGGGGTCTGGCTCAGAGAACCTGCAACAGAGGAAGCACAGGCCCCCTCAAGTGGGTGATCTCACCAACATAGTCAAGCACATGCTGAGGAGCAAGAGCTGCTCAACSAATCAGGCAAGTGCTATGCCATATTCAAAGAAAGCAAAAAAACACAGGTCTTCCAATCTCCTCCTTTTAGCTTTGGAGACAGATGAACTTTTTCTAAAAGTGTCTTCTAGCATTAAAAAGTGAATTGCCATGAGAATTTTGGGASTCTGATACCTTCAATAGTTCTGGTTCTCCTCACACCAGCGGCTGAAACTCTGCCTAATCCCAGAATGATCCTCATTAGAGGGCAAGAGACCATCTCCTTGGTCCCTTTGACCCATGGCTCTCCCATTCTCCCAGCAGGAGAGCCATGAGTGTCAGTTGTTAAGTTAGTTTCTGTGACAGTAACATCTAGACTTCAGAAAGGGAACAAATTAATTTAATGCAAGACACATTCATTATTTGAAAATGTCCTTGGCAAGATACAGTATTCTCCCTGTATCTGTTTATATAATCTGAACTCCTGTGCTGTATTTTCAGCACTTTTAATGCTTTTCACATAGCTGATTTACACATAAGAKTTCCATAGCAGACAAACAGCACAAATTCATTTAAAGCTGTACTATAGAGCTGGCAACTTCAGTTTGCTTYATTTCTTACTCATTGTGGTATTACAAGTTTGATGCTATTTGACTCACATTTTCTTTCTGTAGACAACAATATCAGAGAGGAGGAGAAGGAAGAAAAAGCGGAACAGCAAAAGCTGTAGACACACAAATAGAGAATGCTGCCTCTCAATATCATCATGCCATCACTGAACAGGCACTGTTATGTTACACCACTTAAGCAGTGACTGGTGCTCTGCAGCAGCAGTGGGCAAGGGGGTTATTCCCCAGTGATACTGAGAACCAAGGAAGAAACTCTTTCTAAGCGAGTCTGTCTTTTCTCCATATGATGAGCATGCCAACAGARAAAGCTGAAAAGATGCTGAAATGAGGCTGAGATCTGAGCCTTTTTTTCCTTCCAAGAAGAAAGCATTTCAGTGCATGGAAATTAGTGGGTAGGTAGTCAGACATGCTACACTGGCACTGATTGCTCTGACTTATTCCAGGAGACATATCCAGCTGCTGCATAAATTCCTACCTCAGGAAGGCGAAAAGAACAGTTGCCCTCCTGCAGGCAGCCAGATTCTGGTATGAGTTTGGGGCATTCTAGCTGATGGGGAAACACGAACCCAAGTATCTTATAAAATGCTAAGGCTGTCACTGACCTTGTTTCAGAAACTAATAGGATAGGATCTATACTKACATGGTCACTAAAAATATTTTTGCTGGGAACCAGGAGAGAGGAAATGCTTTTGACTTTCTTGTGTGRCCATTCTCACCTTTAAAATGCAGCTACAGAGCCTGAAATATACCCCTCCCACTCTCTACCACCATGGTAAATTAAACCATTAGTGAGGGGGAATCTGCAACATGCAGGAAGCAAGAACTGGCACTCAGGTGGAGAACAGAGATCCTCATTAACCTTCTCTGATGGCTTTTATAAATGAGGATAGAAATTAGAAAAGTTCAGAGATACAGGAATCCAGAGATACAGGAATCCTTGCAACAAGTAAGCACATGCAGTRCAGAGAGGCAAATCAACTGTGTAACATTTTCCCCAGAGTTTTACACAAAAAGATTTCCTTAATTTAATTCTTAACTGAAAGGCAGGCTGGCATTCAGTCACAGCATCTGGTCAATGTACAATCRGATAAACACTGTGCAGGAGGAAGAGGGGGTCAGGAATAAATCTGGCTTAGTTTGGGGAGCCAAAATACCAGGTAAACCCCTGGRGTCACCTACAGACAAGCAAAAATTGCAAAATTCTCCCCAGGAAGTTAAGGGAGTGTCCAGATTTTCTAAACTGTATGCAATGACCAGAATGGCAGGCGCGAGTAGAAACACATCCTGTGTCTTGTTTTTATGACATTTATTAACACAGCTATTGGACTCTCTCCTTTTGGAAAGAAGTTGGCTATCATTTGAAGACTAGCACGTTTCCAACAACATCAGTGAAGTTCTGTATTGCCAGGGGCAATACTCTGCTTTTGCTGAGACAGAAGAATAAAACCTGAGCTTTTGCATGTGAGATTCCCCTTGTCCACATCTTGGCTTGGGCTCTTTCACTGATGGCCCACAACTGGAGAGGCAGAAAGGGAGAAAAAAGCAGAGCRTCTTAGAACCAACAGCAGAAAGACAACAGACAAGAGCTTCTCACTACCTACTAAAGAACACTCAGAAGCAGGATTTAAAAGTGCATCTTTTCCAGAAGCACACCAAGGAGGAGCTCTTACTAGTTATCAAGAAAGGCAACGTGGCTCTCTTCAGCATTTCCACAAAGAAAACAAGGGACATTCACAGGCTACCAAAATACATTGACTCATGAGGTGACAATAAATCAATCTTTGCCATTACAAACATGCTGCGAGCTCATGCTRAAACCTGCAGCCTGCTAATAGAGCTAAAAGGAATAAATTTAATGGCTATGACTTTAGGAAAAAGGAACACACAGCCATTTCTTGAGTTTTTACCACAACCTGTTGGCTGGCTTAGCAGGACTGCAGTTCCTAAGATGGTTGGCTGCCTGCCCTCTCTGATTATCATGCAGAATCCCRGCACAGGAAGCATCCCCATTATCTCAGGCTGGCCATATCTCCCTGGCTCATGAAATTACATGACACACTACAGAAGTTACAATGACGTGTGTAACTACCTGGATTTTGACCTGACTGCCCGTGCAAGGCACTCAGGCACCACCCCTGAAAYACGAACTGATGCAACTACACAGCACTGCTAGGCCACCTAGCTTTGCTGTAGTGCCATGACACCGGCCATGCCTGCTGGGTCAGCTGAAATAATCTGGGGATCTAACTGCCCTGCAAGCACAGGCTGGTCRGTATTCCAGGGCATTGTCCTTCTATTTCCTCCCCATTACTGTTTCAAGGGAAGTAAATCAGCCCTCAGATACAAACTTCATTTATTGGGCTGCCTCYCATTCAGACCACAAAGGAACCAGAAAAAGCACGACAAAACAAAGCTGCCCTGTACAGTCTCAATTTCCAGCATCTCTTGCTCTAACACCCATCACACTAAAATCCACTGAATTAYAGGATCTCCCTTCAGTGCTGTAGCAACTTTCTAAGACCTAGTAAGGACAGACACTACCAAAATGTAGACAGCCTTACCAGCCTTCTCATGTTGACTGCATTACAGCTGTACTTAGTTTTCTTCCTAATTATTCCTCTTTAGCACTCGGTGGCAAAATAATCAATCCTAAAGAATGAGTGCTAGGGAAGAAAGGAGGTCTGTGCAAGCTGATTTTCCAAATGCAACCTSCTGTTGCTGGACTGCTTTTGTACACAAGCCAGCAAGTTTAGCTCAATTATGCAGCATAAGCCCACCAATATTCCACTAATGAAGAGAAGCATGGTCTGTCATTAAAAGCCTAGGACAGCAAACCAGCTCTCTTAAACAGCTTTCTTAAAAAATTGTTGACATCAAGTATATAGAGCCTACTCTCCAAGTAGGCTCTTGCTCCTCCTTCTGTGCAATGTGCGAAGAGCTCCCTCATAGCAGAACATTGATTTCTTAGATGGCTCATGCTTGGAGATGTATGTACAGGTACTGCAGCTTTTAACAATACTATCTTGCAACTGAGGCACATTTCCACAGAATATCTTCATGTCATCTGGTGTAACTGGAAGAATGCAAAGAGACTGTGCAAAAACATAGACATACACTTTGTATGAATTCTGGATCAGAGAATGACTGCCAAAATATCAAACAGGCAGCCTGAACAGGCACTTTGGGTGCAATCTCTAATGCTTTCCAGCCCTTGAGGCCCCTTGCAAGAAAGGAGCAGTTAGCTCAGTGTGAAGGAGGAGGGAAGAAGCAGAGGTATRTAGGGTAAAGTATACAACAGCAGCAAATGTGAGACATTACTCCCCTACAGAACCATGTACAAGTGCACAATCACATTATGCTCCATAGAACTGTGCTGTTCCACTAAATTTTACTAAATAAACTGAAGTCCATTTCTACCAAAGCTGGTCCTCTGCTCCCTGAACACTTGTAGCYCCTCTGCACAGGTTGCATGGATTGACAACACTGTTGCAGTAACAAGAAAGACTAACACAAACTACTGCTTGGACAGAAAGCAAGGTTGCAATCCCTGAAGTACCCATCATGTGATCATCTGTTTGAAGTCTTAGAAAATCTATTCTTTTGTAATACAAACTTTATGTAGCAACATTAGCAGCTGAGGCAGAAGGAAGGAAGGGCACTAAGATCAGCCCATCACCTAGCTGGACTGCAGAACCTATAAACCAGAGGGAGCTATTCCAGGATGAAAGAACAGTGATGACCAAGAAGATGCTAGCAAATGCAACAGAGCAAAAAAAAAAAAATTAGTCCAGCGTTCATTCCTAACACACAAGATATGTTTGTGGTCAGAATGTCTAAAGGAGTGAAAGCTGTAAGTTCCTATGACTTGAAAATATTTTTCAAGTATATATATACTTGCTTGGTGTTATTGCTTAATGAAGAATGCATAGAGAGTGACTGATCCCTCCAGTCAATAACCATGACAGCATTCATGATTTCCACCAAAGTGCCAGCACTGAGCAGTGGAAAGCATGAGTTTAAGAAACWGAGGTAAAATTCAAAATTGTCCTTGCTCTGCTTCCACTCCTTATTCCCATTTTGTTGTTCTTTGCAGTTGCCTAAAATTAAAGTCTGTAGCAGTGGAACATGGTTTGAATCAGAGAGGATTACTCTAACAGAATTGCAAAAGGATCCTGTATTTGTTTTATTATTCTCCCTTTCCTGTAGCCAAGGAATCAAAAAGCCAACAAAAAAAAAAATAAGCTGTGTTCAGACTAAACAAAAGGGTACTACACAGTCCAAATTCATTATGGGAAATGCATAATTCCTCTACAGTTAAAAGTTATC